CGGGGGCGGCCCCCAGCGCGGCTCTTCATGGAGCGGCCCGGGCCCAGCCGCCGGGGGCAGCGCGATCCCGCGGGGCCCTGTGAGCCCCCAGCGCCACGGCACCATGGTACGCGGGGCCCTGCCTGTCCCCCCGCTTATCCGCCCACCTGCCAGCGCTGCCCTTGCGAGCGTACGGCCCGCGGGCTCGGGTGAAGGGGCTAGAGGGATCTTTCCCCTCCCCCGGGCTTCCCGACCTCATCTGCAAGGTCCCCGCGGGCCGGGAATGCGGCGCTATGGCGTGGCTTTTGGCGGGGAGGGGGTTAAATTCCTGGGGTGGGGGCGCCGGTGTGAGCGGCTGAGGTCCTGCTAGGCACGGGCGGAGGGGGGCGCTTGTTAAGCACGGGCGGAGGGGCTGGGTGATGGGGGAGAAGGGGGAGTCGGATTCCCGCCTGGGCCTTGGGCCACGGGCCACGTGGGCGCTGGAGCCGCCCTGCCTGGCGATTGGGGATGGCTCGGGCCGAGGGCGGTGGGCACCCGTAGCTCCGGTCCAAACTCCAGTGTGACCCTGGGCCGGTCCCCCGCCCTCTCTGGGTCTATTTCCTAGGGAAGGAAGGGAGGCATATGCGCAGAGGAGGCTGTCATAGACACCCCTTCTCCAAAAGGAGGAGCCTAGAGGTCATGAGCCCGTGCCCCCTTGCACAGTCTCGGCCTACCCACTGCTGCCCAGCGATGAAAGGATTGACATGGGGGCCACAAATAGGCGCCCCAGCTTTCATCACAGGGCTTTCCAGTGGAGGCTCTGAGGCAGGGTAGAGAGCCCCTGGCTTGGGGCAGTGAGACAAGGTACCCCTCAGGTACAGAAGGCTCTTACTTGAGTAAGCAGCCTGGACAGGTGTCGCCTGACTTGGGGGAGGGTTTGAAGGCATGAAACCCCCTGGCAACAGAGGTGCCTGACCACCTCCCTGGTCCTGCATATTAGCTAAGCTGGGGTAGCCTGGGCTTGGGGATGAGATGTGTGGCTGCAGCTGGCACAGCCATATGAGGAGGGGCATCCATTGGGAATTGGCACACTTGGCTGGGGAGGTGGGTACAGCTGGTGGGCACTGTATTGGGAGGGGCCAGGCAAGGGGGCAGCTGTGCCCTGTCAAGGGGCTGCCAGTTGTAGATCCAGGCAGCATCTGTGTACCTTGTCAAAGGAGTCCCATCGGGGTACCTGGTCATGAGGGCAAGGATGACTCTGGCTTGGCTGAGATACTGCTTTAGGAATTGAGTATTTGGGGCACTATCCCCTCCCCTGCTGAGATTAGAGGGCTGGAGCCAGGCTTCACTGGGGCCCAAGGGGTCAGATCTGCACATGAGAAAGTTGTCCTTTCCCCATGCACTGCAGGGTGTTCCATAAGGGAGAACAGAAGTTTGGTGCCCTGTGGCCTGGGGTAAGCTTCCCCCAACAGGCCTGGCTTTGGCAAAAGCCCGTATCCAGGCTACTTCCCCTGCCACTGTCTGGCCCCTGGAGGCCATAAGGAGTCCCTGTTACAACCTGAGTTGTACCCTGACCTCCTCACTGACCTGCAGGTGCAGCAGCTCTGGGGAGAAGGTCACGTGTTGAGGGCGTGGTGGCAGAGTCTGAGGAAGCATAGCTGGTCTTGGAGTGGGAGGGTCCCCAGATGGCTCTTCCTGCTTTTTAAGTCATTAAATGCTAAGAAATCCAGACACGTAGAGCGGTGTCCAGTCTGGCAAGGAAGGGGTGGCCTTAGCAGAGCTGGAGACCGGAGGCTCTAGACTGTAGGACCCTCTCATTCTGAGCCTCGGTTACCCCATCTGTGCAGTAGGGATTGGTCCCAGAAGATGATTCAGAGTGAGTCAGAGGAGGGAGATGGAAGGGGCTTGGTGCCACGTTCCAGATAGATTGGCCAGGCTTGGACAGGCCAGCAGCTCTGGGACAGAATGGGTGGCTTCTTGGCTGGTGGGAAGGGGCATGATGGAGAACTCAAGCAAGAGGCTATCCAAGGCCAGGAGCCTGACCAAGGTGGGATCTGAGAGAGCACAGGATAGGTGCTGCTCTGGCTGCTGGCTGGAAGCAGGTTGCCCCTGGTTGCTCACTGAGGCTCATCCTGAGGCCCAAGGCAGGTTCTCATTCAGGTGACTGAGGAGTCGAGCTCAGACACCAACACCCCTGCCCAGTCTGGGCCCACCCTCACTGCCCTGGTAATGGAAGGACTGGCATGGGGGGTGGGGCTGTGGATGGATGGGGTCAGGGGAGACGCTGGTAGTGGGGAGCTGATGGGTTTACTGCCATGGAGCAAGGTACCTCTCAAATGTAGGAGGCTCTGACCCAGCTGGGCAGGGCCAGAGGAGAGCCAGAGCCTAGAAGCAGTGGGGTTGGTCCAACCAGGCAGGCAGGCAGTCAACAGATACTAGTTGAACATCTGTACCCTGGCCCTGTGCAGGGACTGGGCAGCCTGCCTGTCTGTACTGCCCACCTTTGGGGGAGGCTGCTGTGGTGGGGCCAGGGGTGATTGAGTTGGTCCCTATTCTGGCAATTCGCATGTGGTGAATGTGGCACATGGGCCTGATAGTCTAACCCATCAGACTTTGAGGGACTTCGCAGGGCTCCAAAGCCCCCAAGTGCTGTGGCCTTCATGATGGGGCCATCCTGGAGCCTCTGGGCCTGGACCATAACAGGGTCTGGGGCAGGCCTTAGGGGCCTCCTGCCTGCAAGCATGGTGGATTCGTAAAACAGCTGTGTCCTTCCACCTGCACACAGCCCCTGTGTGAGGGGGAGCCACGAGGGGCCAGGCCTGAGGCCACAGGCAGGGGTGGAGGCAGCCTAGCCCAAGCTCTGGCTGAGCAATGAAGGCCTGGCTGGATCTCACTGGCCTCCTTGGGCAGGGCACAGGACCCGGATGGGGAGAAGTTACAGGCCCTGGGCCTGGATTTCTTCACAGAAGCTTCTACTTCTGCAGCCCTCAGGGCCGAGGCCTGGAGGCTCACTGCTGGTGAGGTGAGGGTTCCCTCAGGCGCTGTCCCCTGGGCAGCAGTAGCCAGCGGCCGGGTAGTGAGCCAACAAGCCTGACTTCTGTTCTTGAGGTGTTTGGGGCTCAGGAAATGCTGAAGGATTGCTTGTGTCCCCTCTAGGTGACCACCTAGTCCCAGTATGCCTGGGACTGTCGTGGTTCTGGCACTAAAAGTCCTGTATCCCAGGAAACCCCAGGTCCCTGGAAAACCTGGACAGCTGGTCGCCAGAGTCCTTTTTCTTTCCCCTTTCTCTTCCCTCTCCTTTCCCGGGATGACTTTTCCCACTTCACCAAGGAAGAGCCAGAGGCCCAGGAAAGTTAACTGACCGACTGAGGAGCTCGTGTTCAGCCTCAGAAGGTCATAGTGGGTGTTTGGGCTCCGCGGGCAGCTGACTTGGGCTTGAATCCCCGTCCCCCACTTCCTGTGAAGTGGAGCCAGGAGTTCTGGCTGCTTCCTGGATGGTGGGTTCTGCTGGGGGAAGGGTGGGCCGCAGGGGGAGGACAGGGGCCACTGGCCTTGACCCTCTCCCGTGCCCTCTGCCCCAGTTGCTGGTTGAGAAGACGACCGACTCCCCAGCGGCTGAGTTCTCGCTGGTGGAGGACGTGGCGCTGCACTTCGCCTGCTTGATGGGCCGCCTGAATGAGCAGCGCCTCTTCCAGCCCGACCTCTGCGACGTGGACCTGGTGCTGGTGCCCCAGCGCAGCGTCTTCCCGGCACACAAGGGCGTGCTGGCCGCCTACAGCCAGTTCTTCCACTCGCTCTTCACGCAGAACAAGCAGCTGCAGCGTGTGGAGCTGTCCCTGGAGGCGCTGGCACCCGGTGGCCTGCAGCAGATCCTCAACTTCATCTACACGTCCAAGCTGCTGGTCAACGCGGCCAACGTGCATGAGGTGCTCAGTGCCGCCTCACTGCTGCAGATGGCTGACATCGCCGCGTCCTGCCAGGAGCTGCTGGACGCCCGCTCCCTAGGCCCACCGGGCCCCGGCACTGTGTCCCTGGCCCAGCCAGCCGCCAGCTGTACCCCAGCCGCGCCACCCTACTACTGTGACATCAAACAGGAGACTGACACCCCGGGTCTGCCCAAGATCTATGCCCGCGAGGGCCCTGACCCCTACTCAGTGCGTGTCGAGGACGGGGCAGGGACTGCTGGTGGCACAGTGCCTGCCACCACTGGGCCAGCCCAGCCCTTCTTCAAGGAGGAGAAGGAAGGTGGTGTTGAGGAGGCTGGCGGGGCCCAGGCCGGCTTGTGCAAGCTGGAGGGTGGGGAGGATTTGGAGGAAGAGCTTGGGTCTTCCGGCACCTACAGCCGCCGTGAGCAGTCCCAGATCATTGTGGAGGTGAACCTCAACAACCAGACACTGCACGTGTCCACGGGGCCCGAGGGGAAGCCGGGTGCTGGAACGAGCCCAGCCACCATGGTGCTGGGCCGGGAGGACAGGCTGCAGAGACACTCGGAGGACGAGGAGGAGGACGAGGAGGAGGAGGAGGAAGAAGAAGAGGAGGGCGGTGGCAGTGGAGGGGAGGAGGAGGAGGAGGAGGAAGGAGAAGAGGAGGAAGAGGCTGGCAGTCAGGGGGAGGAGGAAGAGGAGGAGGAGGAAGGGCACAGCGGGCAGGAGGAGGAGGAGGAGGAAGAGGAGGAAGGGCAGCATAGTGAGCAGGATCAAGAGAGCTCAGAGGAGGAGGAGGAGGAGGGGGAGGCCGGAGGCAGGCAGGGGCCAGTGGGGCACCAGAGCAGCCGGGCAGACCCCCCTCCCCATGGCCGCATGGCCACGCGGTCACGGGAGAATGCCCGGCGCCGGGACACCCCAGAGCCTGAGGAGGCTGGGCGGAGGGGTGGGAAGCGGCTGAAGCCGCCCCCCGGGGTAGCCACTGCACCAGCCCGTGGGCCGCCAGCCACTGATGGGCTGGGGGCCAAGGTGAAGCTGGAGGAGAAGCAGCACCACCCTTGCCAGAAGTGCCCACGAGTTTTCAACAACCGCTGGTACCTGGAGAAGCACATGAATGTGACCCACAGCCGAATGCAGATCTGCGACCAGTGTGGCAAGCGCTTCCTGCTGGAGAGTGAGCTGCTGCTGCACAGGCAGACAGACTGCGAGCGCAACATCCAGGTGGGTCTCAAGGCGAAGGGGGCAGGACAGGGCAGAACTGGGCTCTGGGCACCCAGCGTCTTGCCGATGGCATTGCCCACATGGTCTGGAGATGAGACTTAGCCCCCAGACAGTCGGGCCAGCCTAGGCCCAAGGAAAGCAGGGCCCAGGTTCTCAGTGCAGTGAGAGCTCAGGAGATAACATCAAGGAGTGCTTCCTGGGAGAGGCGGGTAGAGGTGGGTCTTGGCACATGGAGAGATGTGCAGAGAGGGTTGGAGCAAACAGTAACCTTGGCTGACGTGGCAAAGAGATACCCTGGACTTGGGAGGATGAGAGCAGAGAGTTGCTGAGCAGATGAGACTAGGGGACAGCCAGCTCTGGGAAGGGATGAGTCAGTGTTTTAATAAATCCCTAGGGCTGCGGGAAGGCCAGCAGGGCCACCGTGTATGGTTTCACAGGTTGTGAATTGCACAAAAGTACACATGGAAGGAGGAGGGGTTTGCGCAGACAAGGGTGCCATTTTCCACTTCCCACGAAGGTGCTGTATAGAGCAGGGTGCAGCCCAGCAGGAAACCCCATTCAGCTCTTTGGAGATGCCAGCTGGCCTGAGCCTGGGGAAAGGGGACTGGATGAGAAATTTGGGAAGAGCAGCGGCTGCTGGGTGCAAGCAGGGGAGCTGGGCTGGCTTCCAGGCCTTGGGCCAGCCTAGCCGCTCAGAGTGGGGGTGGCACAGAGCCATCCAGGCTCCCCATGGGTAGTTTTTACCTTTTGGCCCAGGAGAAGAGGGGAAAGGTGGGGTAGGCGGGTGCTAATTGCCTAAGCTAATTGTTAATTGCAGTGCTGTATGGAGAAAGTGTTACCTGGGACTTACCTGGTAACCTGCCCTACCCTAGTGCACCTGTTCCCACTTGCCTGCCCTTTGACTCTTCACCTGCCGCACACCTGAGCCTCCCTCCTGAAGGGGAGACAAGCTTGTGCCCCTTCCAACCTGGGCAGTCTGATCCAATTTCTGCTCAAGCCCTGACGTAGCCTCCAGCCCTTTGGGGGTGACTTACAAGGATGGGCAGGACAAGGGTCCAGGAGAACAGGTGGAGGGAAGCATGGTCCCCAAGGTCCCCACCATTGTCCATTGCCTAATGGGACCTGATACCTCCTGCAGCCAGCCCCTTTGGGACCTATCCCCTTGGGGATCTCCATGGTTCAGGGCATGGGTCCCAGCAGGGGGAGGCAGCAGTGATAATGCCCAACTCTGTGGGGACCTGTTATCAGAAGGGCTTCTCCATGAACTGTGTGTAGCCTCCACATCCTATGCAGCCCTTCACCTAGTTGTCTGTCTTTCCTCTGTAGAGAGACACAAGGTGAGGACTTTGGAAGACCTTGTTGAAATAAGCACAGAGGGGGACTTCCTGGAAGAGGTGACCCCTGACCCTAGTTGAGCCCAAGGAGGAAGGAGGCCCCCAGGCTGCAGCCCGGGATGTGGGGGTGGGTAAGTGTGTAAGGAGTTACCATCCCCAGCTCCAGGAACATCAGATATGTCTGGCCCTTGGACATCAAGGCCCTCTCTCCAGCACATTTCAGGTGTGGAAACAGGCCAGAGAGGTCTAGTGACTTGTCCAAGGTCATACAGTCCTGACTCGGGCCCAATGCCTAAAGTCCTCTCACCTTGCAGTGTGTGACATGTGGCAAAGCTTTCAAGAAGCTCTGGTCCCTCCACGAGCACAACAAGATTGTGCATGGCTACGCAGAGAAGAAGTTCTCATGCGAGATCTGTGAGAAGAAGTTCTACACCATGGCCCATGTGCGCAAGCACATGGTTGGTAAGTCTGAGCTGGTAGTGGATGGAGCCTAAGGACAGAGATGGGCAGCTGCTGGCTGTCCTGGGATGGGCTATCCATCCAAGTGGATAGGAAAGACTTCACATCCAAGGATGGTGTGAAGGGATGAGAAGGCCCGTCTCAGCTGGGAGGCATGGGGAGGCTGGTTGCAGTGGCATGTGTGACCTGAACAGGCTCTAGGTCCAGGGCTGCCAGGTACAGTTGGGCAGGTTGCACATTACACAAGGGTGCCTGGACAAGATGGCAGGTGGGAAAATCCAGCTGCACACTGCTAACCAGATTGCGCATCCTGGCATGGGGTTGTGTCCACGCAGAGAAAAAGCACCTTTTTCTAATTCATACAAAGTGCCATATGGGTTGGCACAGGCCCTGTCTTGGTTTGATGGCAGTTGTGCCTCTGATTCCTTCTCACCTTCTGACCCTCACAGAGCTTCAGGCTTCTCTGAATGCAACTTCCCCCAGGAGTCATGCCTGGACACAGTGACGAGGTCCCCCTACTGTGTGTTGGTCACCACTCTGCCTTGGGCAAGGCTGCCCACCTTCTCTAGGTGGGCCTGGCTGGGAATCTGATGTCTCTAGGGCTCTCCCTTCCTTGCCCACTCTGGGCTTAGGGCTTGGGGGAGGGGTGGCCAAAGCGAACAGGGGGCCCCTGGCCAGGACCTACTTCCTTTCTCTACTGAGCAGTGCCAAGGCCTCCAGTGTGAACTAACTGGAAGCTGGAGCCTTGGGGTCTATGTGTTGGCCAGGAGTATGCTGGGTTACCCAGGATTGGGGGTCTCTGAGCTCAGCTCTGTCTCCTGTGGCCTCCTCCCAGATCTTCCTTGAAGAGTTTGTTGGTCCTCAGCCCTCCATGGGTTTGTGGGGAGCGCAGCTAACTTCCTTTGGACTGCTATTTAAGGCCTGTGGTCGGGGCCTTTACATGTGCCATCCCTTAGAAAGCCCACCAGCCTCAAAGTGCAATACCGCAATTAGCCCCTTTTTACATAAGAGGAAGCTGAGGCCCAAAGAGACCATGCGGGGAGCCAGTGGTCAGGCCAGGATTTGAGCCGAGGCCAGTCCCACCCAGGATCCTTCTATCCTTCCCTGAAGTTTTGGACACAAGGCAGCTCTGGCCAGAGGCTAAAGAACCATAAGGGCCTCCATGCTTGTTGGAGCCTGACGTTCAGAGCAGACAAGGAGACCCAGTCCTTAGGGGAAGTGGGCCTCTCCTGGGTCTCTGCCCCAGGTCCTGGGACAGAGTATGAGGCTGGTGAGAGGGAAGGGTGGTGGCACAGGGCTGTCCCAGGAGGCGGGGTCTGGGCCCAATGTGGGGGTGCTCAGGCAGGCCCCAGAGACGTAACGGCCACGGTGCCCACCCTGTAGCCCACACTAAGGACATGCCCTTCACCTGCGAGACCTGCGGGAAGTCCTTCAAGCGCAGTATGTCCCTCAAGGTGCACTCACTGCAGCACTCCGGGGAGAAGCCGTTCAGATGTGAGGTGAGCTCCTGATGCCTGTTTGGCCTGCCCAGGGAAGGGCAGGGATCGGGGGCAGCAGCTGCTTAAAAACCAGGGGGTAGGGAAGTGGAGTGCAGGGCCTAGAAAAGAGAGCTCCACCCTCTGATGCCTGTGGCCCTTGCTTCCCATGTCCACCCTGCCTCTACCCCACCCCTGACCCAGCTCCCACACATTTGGGATGGGAAGTCTGCATGGTCTGGAGCCATGGGGGCAGGCTTCCTGGGAGGTGGAGAAAACAGCATCCCGGGCAGGGAGACCCAAGATGGAGACAGCAGAGCTGCAGCAGGGATGGGAGACCCTTCCAATGAGGAGGGAGGATGAGGGTCCTCAGGCCTGGGCTCTTCGTGCTGCCCCTGAGAAGCACGTCCACCTGTCCTTGCATCCGCACCTCCTTGCCAGGAGCCCTCCCCATGCGTGTCCCTCCTCAACCCCGTGGGCCTGGGGGCCCTGTTCCCTCCCTGAAGGCTGCTCTTCTCTCTGTCCCTGGGCCTCACCCCACCCCCAGAACTGCAACGAGCGCTTCCAGTACAAGTACCAGCTGCGGTCACACATGAGCATCCACATTGGCCACAAGCAGTTCATGTGCCAGTGGTGCGGCAAGGACTTCAACATGAAGCAGTACTTTGACGAGCACATGAAGACACACACAGGTGCGGCTGCCGGGGGAGGGCGCCTGGGACGGCCTTGGCCACGCCCCTTCTCGACTCTGGGCCTCAGTTTACCCTCCTATAGGAGGCTCAGAGCCATCCTTCCTGCCTCCCAGGGTTGGGTGAGGCTGGCACAAAATGGCCCGGGGCGGGGGGCGGGGGGAAGATCCGAAAGTGTCGACAACAGACCCCAGGATGGTCCCAGGGCAGGAGAGCTGAGCCAGGGCTCGGGTGTGGCGACGCCCCGGTGACGCCCCGCCTCGCACCCCAACCCGCAGGGGAGAAGCCGTACATCTGCGAGATCTGCGGCAAGAGCTTCACCAGCCGGCCCAACATGAAGCGGCACCGGCGCACGCACACGGGCGAGAAGCCGTACCCGTGCGACGTCTGCGGCCAGCGCTTCCGCTTCTCCAACATGCTCAAGGCCCACAAGGAGAAGTGCTTCCGCGTCAGCCATCCGCTGGCCGGCGACAGCGGCCCCCCCGCCCCGGGCCTGCCCCCCGCCCCGCCGCAGGCGCACGCACTGCCCCTGCTCCCGGGGCTGCCCCAGACCCTGCCGCCCCCGCCCCACCTGCCGCCGCCGCCCCCGCTCTTCCCCAGCACTGCCAACGCGGCGGGCGGGCGGATGAGCGCCGGCAACTGACCGCGCCTGCACCTGCTGGGACCCAGCCTCCCCTCCTTCCTGGGGAGGGCAGCGGCCGGGCCGGAGCCCTGCGCCCCACCTCCGGAGGTGGCTGGAAGTGCTCCGCCTGAGGCCCCCACCCTAGGGGTGTCGCGGGCTGGCCGCCCCTGGAGCTGGCGGAGGACACCTCACTCCCAAGTGCCCCCCATTCTGCGACTCCTTGAAGCCTTTACTTTTCCTTTTTTCTTTTGGAAGTGAAGGAAAAAAGAGGAATATTTGCGGCACCCCCTCCAGGTGAGGGGGGTGCTGGAGGAGGCAGGTACAGTGGGGAGGGTGGGGCCTGGGCAGCAGCCGAGGCCGGTCACTTTGCCGAGCCTGAGTCAGCCTCAGTGGCTTATCTCCAGGTCCCCTGTGCGGGCTCATTTGCTCCCTCATGTTGGAGGGTTTGGGGAGAAGTTGGGGTGCTGGCCCCGTTGGAGGAGCTGTGTACGCAGTCTGAGGACTGCAGACCTCCAGGCAGGGCTTGAAACTGGATGTATGAGTGTGTTCGGTGGGGAGTGGCGAGGTTTGAAGACTGCAGACCCCGCTGTGCACCTGTGGGGTGGGGCAGGCAGGGGCTGGACCCCAGGGGGTTGCTTTCCCCACCCACACCCCTGCCAGAGTGCACCTGGCTACACCAAGAGCCTTGAGTCCAGAGAAAGTGTCCCCAGAAGCTGCTGGGCCTCAGGGTGTGTGGGCCAGGCCCAGGGTGGGGAGACAGGCTGACTCCCGCTGCACCAGGGGCCACAGTCAAGGAGCCCCAGCGACTGGGTTAGACACCTGGGGCAGGGTCAAGGAGGAGGCTTGGGTGAGTGTTTTAGAGTTTCAAGGTGCTATCAGTGGGGCGGGGGGGCAGGGCTGCTGTTCACAGAGCACCCTGTCCCTCACCAGCTACCCAGGCCATATCTCCCACACCAGAAGGGGATGTGTGTGTCTGTGTCTGTCTCTGCTCCCTAAGGCCAGCATCAGGCTTCATCCTCCCCCTATGTCTAGCCACAACCTGCCCCTGGCTGGCTCCAGCATCCTTGTCCCTTCTGGGCCTCTGCACTGGTAGGTGGGATGCCCACAGCACTGCCGCTGAGAGGAGCTTGCATGTTCAGGCCCCAGGGGGTGTGGGGCTGTGGGAGCCTGGCCTGGCCCAGTGCTTGCCCCCATGAGGCCAGCACTAATAGGATACCCTTTTTTGTTGTCATTTAACGTCTTTATTCCTACCTTTGAAATGGGGAGGAAGGTTCCATAAGCTACATGTTTCCTAGTTAAGCTCTCTCCTGTTGTGTTTATACGGTTTTGTTTGTTATACTCTTTGCACCTTAAACCCCCACTACTCCCTGCACACTGCCACTTTCCCAGCAGGGCCAGAGTGGGAAGAGGCCTGGGCCGAAGGGGGATGGTGGGGGTCTGGACCCCTCTAAACTCGTGAGGCCCATGGCGCTGGAGTAGGGGGCTGGGGACATTTTAATCATCAATAAATGAAGCACTTTATTCTGTATGGATGTGGGCAGGCCCGAGGTGCCCGAGTGATTTGAGGGTTTATAATCTAAGCCACACCACCCCAGTTGTTCTCTGGGCTTGGAGGAGGCAGTGCCAGCAGCTTCTCTGTGCTGGGTCCTTCCCTGGCCTGGTGAGCTTGGGGCTGCAGCTGGAGCAATATGAGCCAAAGCCTGCAGACACCCTCAGATATCCCTGCTGTCTGTCCTCTGAGGAGAGAAGGTTGGTCCCTCCCCAAGAGAGGAAGCCTTCCTGTCTGGCTCTGGGCTCTGCCGCTCCCCTGTTCCAAGGCTGGGGGTTCCAGTTCTTGTGGGGTCGGGGCTGGGCCTTCCAGCTTTACTGTGGCTCTTTTCCTCCCCTGCACCCCTTAATCTTTGGGCTTCCGTGACATCCTCAGGGTCCCCCCTCCCTCCCCTATGCTTTTTCTAACCTCTGGTCTCAGTGCCTGGCAGCTCTTCAAAGCTGCTTCACGTTTTCCCTAAAAGTGAGTCTCCCCAGTGGGCTGTAGGTAGGGATGTCCATGGGTTCTTCAGCCTCCATCACTAGCACCAGGGTCTCCCATAGGGGCTGATGGCCTTGTCACCTGCTGGCCCCACTGCAGCCTTAGTGGGCCTGGGGGCTCTGGCCAGGCCGGGACCCTGGGGTATCAGGCCATACTTTGACAAGTGGAGATCAAAGATGGGTGTGGGGAGCTGGTGATAAAACCCTGTCCCAGGACTTGAGTTTCCTGTTCTGTACTTTTCCCCTCTGGGGGCAGGCAAGGGGTCCAGACAGCTGGCTGGGCACTGGTCATGATGGTCATTATAGCTTAGGTGAGCATGGCCAGCCCCTCTCCTGGGAGGCCCCTGTCCCACTGGGGACAGGAGCCCCATGTCCCTGGTGCTAAACACTCTCTTTATCTTGGGCCAGCGTTAATGGGAGTGGGCAGATCACAAGGCCAGAAGCAATAATGGCACTTCAGCAGTGCCAGTATGGATAGGGGTTCCTGTTTTACCACCTTTTACATTTCCTTTTTATTTTTAAAACAAATTAATGAGCACCCGGATGTTGGAGCAAGGGGACTGGGGAATCGCACCTACTTCCCAGGGCTGGGGGTAAAGGTGGCCCAGGACCTCACCTCCCATGGAGATTGCTGGGGTCCTTCTGTCCAGCTCAGCTTCTCAGCTGTTTGGCCAGAACTTGGGTCTGGAGCCAGGGTCTGCCCCCTCCCCAGCTCCCCTGGGCTCTCTGGCCTTGGGCCAGCTGGGAATGAATGGCCAGAGTGGTGAGGTGGGCCTCAAGCCCTATGGGCACAGGTCCAGGAGCCAGGGCTGATGTCCGAGCCTGGGCCTTCAGCCCCCTCATGCTGCCGCCACCTCCACAGTGCCCCTTACAGGGGGCTTGGTGGCAGCAGAATGTCTGTGCCAAGACCTCTGATGTCTGGTCATGTAGGGGCACCCCACAGCCCCAGAGCATGGGGGACAGCAGGCGTGCAAGTGAGGAGAGTAACAACAAATAAAGTCAGTACAACTCCTGTGCCTTGGCCCAGCCTCTTCTTTACAGTTGCCTGACCTGACTACTGGCTGGAAAGACTTGGGCCAGAGCAGGGGAGGCGTGTAATCCAGCAGCTTAGCAAGCAGACCCCATGGACATCTGTGCCCTGGAGCACCATGGACCCCAACTTCCTCCCTTAAGTGTGGGATGGGTGTGGAGAGCACCCAGAGTCAGGAACTCAGGCAAAGGCAGGGCTGGGTCCCTGAAGTGGGATTAGGTCTTGGGTCAGATGCAGAGGGGGCTGAAAGAGGAGAAGTCCTGGGGCTGCTGGGGTCACAGCCCCAGAGGTACTGCCCATGGGAGGCCAGGGCCTATGCCATTGTGGTTTTCCATGAGCACCAAGCATGTAGGCATAGGAGTCCAGGGACAGCCATGACCAGCAATCCCATCTGTGTGCTTAGCGCGGAGGGTGCTGTGATGAGCACAGGGCTCGCCCTTCCCTCAGCAGGCAGGGGAGGTCTGAAGGGGCCGGATGTCAGAGGTGTTGCCGTGGGCAACTTGGAAGACAAGCTCAGATGGAAGACAGATGGTGGCCTCTGAGGAGGGAGCAGGTGGCTCTCCTTGGGGACCTCTGAGAACTGTTTCATTGCACAGGAGATATATAGAGCAAGCGCTCTGTGCCCAATGGACTTCTAGGCATGTGGTGAAGGACACAAGGGGAAGGAGGTCCCCACTTTTGTGGCACTCACCTCTGGGTACATGGGGAGGGGACAGACAGGATTCCCCAGGACTGGGAAGGCTGGGAAAGAGGTCTTGTGGGTGGATTCTTTGGCCGGAGAGGAGGTACAGGGTCCCGGGATGCTGACACTGCCTATCTGCCCAGTCCCACTTCTTTGACTGAAAGGGGCTTGCAAAAGAAACCCTAAAGACAAGCTGGCTGACAGGCCTCCCCAGGTCTGGCTGCTCCTGGTCTCCTGGGAGGATTCGCTTCTTCCTGCCTCTGCTCTCTTCCCTCCTGCTCCCCATCAGGCTGTGTGAGCCTCTCCACACATCTTTTTTCCTTCAGCCCCCCACCGCCTCCCTTGTTCTTGCAGTATTTCCAACTTCACGCTGCAGAGAGTCTTGGGCATGTCCATGCCAGGCTGTGAGGTGGAGGCCGCAGTGGCTGTGGCTGTGGATGGCAGGCACCATGGCTGGATCTCTGGAGCACTTGCTTGCCCCCAGGTTTGCTCTTTGGGACCAAGCAGCTCCCTAACATCCCAGGCCGTGAAGCATGGGTCAGAGCAGCACTGCCCTGCTGGAGAAAGGCTGGGCTTTCTGCCCTTCCAAAGTGTGGTAGCGGTCAGTGAGATGAGGAAGTGGTGCACCCCTGGCTTAGTGCTGCCCTTGAGCCTGCACCCTGATTATGTGGCTTTCTAGAGCCAGGACTGGAGAGCCTAAGTCAGGTTAGGCTGGTAGCTGCTGCAGTAACAAACCACCTCCAAATCTCAGTCGCTCAACACCCATGGCTCGGGAGGAAGCTCCAGAGCAGTCATTTTCCATGTGCTGGCTCAGCGTTCTGGGCTGCTTTACCTTGTGGCACCTCCATGTCCACATGGGCCTCCAGAGTGGCAAAGCCAGGAAAGGGGGTGGAAAATTATGCATTGGCTAATTGCAGAAATGACATATCCAGAAATGACATATCTCTTCTGTTTATATATCATTACCAAAGCAAGTTCCATGACTGTGCCTTACTTTGGGGGGTGTGGAAATGCAACCCTACTGTGTGGCTAGGAGGAGAGGAGACCTGGAAAGACTGTTGAGCAGCAGTAGCCTCTCCTGCACTTGGACCTTTGTGTCTCCAGAGGCCAGGCTGCAGGATGCCCAGCCTGGGGAGCTGGCTTCTAAACTCTCTGGAGGGTCAGTGATAAAACAGAAGAGCAGTGTCTCCCAAGGTTCTGGCTGGCAGGGAGGTGAGATGAACCTCCTCAGTCTCCACAGATGACAGCATGGGGACCTGGGGAGTGGGGAACAGGATGGGA